ACAGTTTGTCACAGCCCCTCGTTTGTTGTCCTCATCTCCCTCTCTGCCTACGGTTTACCGGGCAGTTCTATTTGACGATATATATATATTGTCACATCACTAAAAACTAAAAGAGCGCACTTTGCGGAACAAAGAATAAAAGCAAAAAACGGGCACAGTGAATATATCGTCAAACAGAGCTGCCGGAGGCAGAGAGGGAGAAGAGGACAAACGAGGGGCTGTGACAAACTGTTTTGTCGGAGTTTCACCGACTCGTCAGGAGGCTGATTTTTTTTATTTTTATTTTTTTGCTTTACTGTTTTTGGCCCGGACGGGCAAGTGTCCCAGCCCTCTCTGGTAGCCTAGCATTCAATATTAAAAATGTAAATGACAAAATGACAAAATGTGCATTTTGTCATTTACTAAAATTATGTAAGAACAATGAACATTGAATAAGAAAAAGCATTACAAAATCAACTTACTCGTAAACTTCTAACTGTACCCATAAAAAAACACCCAGAAAAAAAAAACAAAAATCAAGAAAACTGCAACTCACTTTCAGGTGTGGACGTAGCCACTTAGACAACTGATACGTCATGCCAGAAGTTCCAAACCTGCGCCCATTGATGCACAACGGATAAAAATTAAAATAACATCAGTTCGTGAGCCCGTCTTTTCTGACATCCAAAACCCCTTCGCACTGTTCGCAGACATTAGAAAATTTCAGACACAGAGACAAGAAACATGAAAAAAAAAAAAAAAAAAAAAAAGAGAGAGAGAGAGAGAGAGAGAGAGAGAGAGTACCTTACAATGGTGGTGCATGGCCGATCTTAGTTGGTGGAGTGATTTGTCTCGTTAATTCCGTAAGAAAAGAAGAAGAAGAAGAAAGCACCTTACGATCTTCTACCGAACTATATGGGCCTCACTCGACTACTCTCCACATGCACAAAAGACAAAAAATACGCCGGTGTATCTTCCCATGTTCTAGCAGAAGATTCGTTCTCATTTTGCACATTTGCCAAGTAGTGGAGCGAGACCCTATATGACATTGGCAATGATGGTAGTGCTTGCAACTGTTCTGATATTGTGATGTTCGGATGGGATCGCTGTTTCATTGTCGTATCGACGTGTTCGCTTTTTTTCCTTTTTTCTTTTTAAACGCCAAGGCGTTAGGTTCAAGGGTCAGCGCGTTTCTGTACTTTTAGCATGGAATGCGTACACAACCGCTTGCTTTTCAGTACACCTGCACCTTATATTTTGTCTGTTCTCTTAACGATTGCAAGGAACATGAGTATGGACGAAGCACAGAAATCCAGAATGCAAAATCACACTGAAAGTATTCAAAGCCAAAGCAAATAGCACATGGAACCGAGTAACCATCCCATTGAGAATGATACAGAAGAATCGTGAGTCAATGTCCATGCCCACCAGGGCAACACCAACAGCATAACCCAAATGTAGCTCTCTCTTGTGAATGGCGCCAGGCGCCCTATCTACTCTACAGCCTATCCTACAACTACAGCAATGAACAGCAACCAGACAACTTGACTACCAGCGAGTAATG